AGTCATGCCTGTGAGTTACAGTATTGAAATATCTATTAACCTGCAAATATGCTGTTTGAGAAGGAAGACATTTCTGGTTCTTATCAGTCACAAACTGCTGAAGTCACTGAGGTACTAGAGTAATGGCAGCACAAAGCCAGGATCTGAGGAGATGGGCTAGACATGAGACAGAACACCCGAGCACTTTTAAAAGAGCATAAGGCAGTGCAACACCATCCAGGGTGTGCTGTGGGCAACAAAAGGCTAGCATTACTCAGGAAGGAGAGGGAGGTTTAAGGGGAAAGGCAGTGGAGCTGGCACAAGCCAGTTTGCCTCCTAAGATTTCTGGCCCTGCGACCGTGCAAAAGAACAGTCAGTCATGTGCAGCCAGGAACTATTGACTGCTAAGGTCCTTCCCAATTAAGTCATGGAAAAGGTACAAATGAGATCCATTTTGTGTCATAATCAGGACACACACAGTCAGATCATGTCAACTGGCTGCTCAGAGAGAACGTGAAGGAGAGAGAACAAATGGCAATGATTTGTTCTCATCATACTGCTTTGGGGTACATCTAAGGTAGATATTTTATCCCTGTGGCTTTCCATTCATCTGTATCACTTGAGACCAACATGCATCTTCATCTAAAATACTCTTCTCTATAAGGTGATCAATTTGTCAGTATTTTTCTCTCCAGTTGGATCGACCAGTCTATTGGATGCCATGACTGGGGTAGTTACTGAGCACTATTCTCGGCTTGCCTATTGAATTCTCTCCAACACTCTCTAGGATTTAAAACCTTCTCCCCATTCACTACTAGAGATGGAAATAAATTCTGAACAAGCCAGATAGTGGCTTGTTTAAAATACTGAGCACACCAGAAATGGTACAACACTCCTTTGATCTTGGCACTCTGGAGGAAGAGATAGGAGGATCTCTGTAAGATTAAAGTCAGCATAATCTACATAGCATGTTCCATGCCAGCTAGGGCTACATAAGTGAGACCGTTTCTAAAACAAAATAAAAAAACAAGTCCTACTGGACAAAATTGCTTAAGGCAAGAACACAAGTGAACAATTACTAAATGCAATTTAGCCCACAGTCATGGTTTATGTGCTCCATGGAGGGCATTGCAATCCAGGAATTTCACATAAAAATAAAGACTAACATCATTTCTTTAAAAAAAAAAAAAAAAAAACTTCACAGAACCTAGCAATAGTGAACCCTGCTCTCATTTGACAGCAGTGAGCAATGACAGGATGCTACAATTTACTACTCCCTATTACCTGGGACACGATCTACGTCACTCATATATATGAATTGTATGAATCCTAGAAGCATTTGAAAATTGATTGAGGGGTTAATTCTTGCTTGGATCCAGTCATCCAACAACTTTTCCTTGTATTTATTATTTGCATATTCAGCAGAGAACCAGTTAGTAGGGTTTGTTTCCTAAATGGCTAATGCTCATTTCTAAAAGGCTGCACAAAAGAATTTGTTTATGAATGATTCACCAGCTGAAGAAGTGAATTCATGTTGGATTTCTCCTTTTGTTCATTTTTTAGAACATTCAGTAATTTATGTCTCTCTTAAACCTTCTTAAGGCAGACCTTTTCTCACCCCAGGGACCCCATTCCATTATCTTGTTCTCTCATTCCTTCCCTACTTCTTCCATTATCACCTGATCTGCATTTTCACCCTCGAAGAACCAAATCTCCTGTCTCATCTAGTCCTCTGCACAAATTCAGTGTGAGAATAAAGGGAAAATGCTACAAAATAGCAAACAGCCACCTAAAATATGCTGTGGAAAATAAAACTATTAGCTGTAGGCATATTGAGCAAATGACCTAAACTTGCAATTGTGTATATTTTCTGTTCTGTCTTATTACTTATTCATATGCACCTTCAAAGGAAATAAAAAGAAATTTATAATAAAGTTCTATAACTATGCTGTTATTTATATAATAAATGTGTTGCAGGGAGATGCATTTAAGAAAAATCCCATTTTGATACAATAGAAAGCTATTTGAGGAAATATTATTGAAAATATTTCATATAGGAAATCATTTCATTATCAAAGGTTAACTTTCTAACTTATCATTTTTTAATATTGGGACCTTTTTTTAACTTGATCTACTTAAATTAACCAGCACTTAACATTTGTTTTATTGAAGACATGTTTCTTAGATTCATGAATTTAAAAACAACAGTTGGAAAACAGCCTTTTAAAAATGATAATTTTATAAAACACGTATACTTGCAACACACCATCTTACCTTAGTCTACATGATTTCATAATTAACAAATACTATTATTTCCATATTAAAATTGCTTTCCCATATCTTTGTGCTACTAGATTCTAAACAACTTTGAGTAGTATTTAATATGATACCAGCCTTGGATTTTGAATGATGAGAACAAAACCATTGTAATTACTCTCATAACACTGAATGTACAAAGTATATAATACTATAAAAAAGAATCAGCTTCTATGTAGTAACTTGAGTTTCTATATCTAGAAGCCATTTTGTTTCTACATTAAAAATAACATTTAAACTCTTTAAGTAAATATGAATGTTTTTATCTTTTCATATGACTGATTATTACTTACTGACCTGGAAATAATAGTGAAAGAAATTCTCAATGATTTTTATGGCTCTCAGCTCATTTTTTGATCTGTTGCACATAGTAAATTTTTAAGTGAATAAATAACTGCTTTCATTGATTGGGGTTGCTTTGTCCATACACTCCCTTGCCATGTTTCCCTTGGTAACCAACCACCTGAGTTGTCATGATCACTTTTAGGAGTTGAAAGGAAGTGATTTGGGACCTGTGAGAATATATTTACACTATGTATGTGAACTGTAACATTCTCCCAAGGAAATCAAACCTACTTTGACCTTTATTTTAACCACCATTGTCTCTTCCTGTGTGTTTCAAAGCATCCTTGCTCCTTGAAAAGTGTGAAACAGAATTGCCTCAACAAAAAAGGCAAATTGTGCTACTGATGTACTAAATTAAAATCTTGTGGACGAGTCTAGAAATCTGGATTTAAAGATTCTCATATTTACTTTCCTGGGTCCTTCCACATGACTCTGATACATATTAACTTTTGAAAACCTCTGCATGGTAACTAATGAAATACTAGACCCATAGTTTAATTATTCAAAACTTTGGCACATGCAAATTAAAGTGATATAAATGTACAAAATAAGCAACACTAGCTGTGTTTTTCCAGGATCTGGAATGAAAGTAAAGACACAAATTGTTCTCAGCAAAATCCATTAGATGAGACTGTAAAAGAGACTTGGTGCTTGGTTTATTATAGTTAAGCTTAGAACCAAGCCAAATACTATAATGTCATAAAGTTTAATAAATAATTACCAAACAAAAGAGTTAGTATGACTCTGATAAGAATCTGTGGTTATGGTCAAAGTGACCATGCCTTGTGTATGGTCAGGTCACTTATTAATGATATGTCTGCAATTGAATTTTCTGCCATGAATGTGTCATGGAAGCTTAATTCACATTGAAGAATTCAGAAACTAATCAAAAACAGATCTTTGCTACTTAGGATTACTCTAACATGGTAGTTACTTTGAAAACTCACACAGAGAAAGAACATACAATCCTAATCCAAGGAATTATTTAAGCTTTCACAGAAGGTGCTCTGCAAACTGAATCTAGGAAATAAAACGGTCACTAATTAAGACAGAATGTGAACTAGTGAATTGAATCTTAAGGATCAAAAATTTACCTGAACATATGAGTTATATGTCTGAATTCAGAAACTATCAAGTCATCTGATTTTAATACTATCCCTAAAAGATCAGGCAGAGAAAAACAAAAGTAGTTGATGAAAAATAACATTATCCAGTGTATGTCATAATTAGTCAACTGGATGATACCAACATTTGATAATTAAATAAGTAATGTTTAAGCACACTATGTTTAAGTCAATTAATGCAAATTCTGAATGCCAAGTCCTCAATGGTACAAAATCCAAAACTTATTGAGTGGCAAGTTGATGACATGATATCAGTCCACACCTGATATCATGTAATGGATCATAAGAAAATACTGTCTAAAATTACCTACAGGTTATCTATATTCATATTTATATAACATAGATATATTTATTTAAAATAAGTAATTATATATATAACATAAATATATTTTACATTTATACTCAAGTTTCGTCTCTAAGCTGCTTCATTATGCATGTGTAATTATCCAAAAATTAAAAAAAAAACAAAATGAACTATGAGTCACTTCTGGTCCCAAGAATTTTAGGTAAGGATCATCCAACATGTAAATTAACCAAGATTTGCAGACATTTAGTAATTAATTTTCAGCAACATAGGAAGTTTTTCTATCAGGTAAGAATATTCTGAGTTTGTGTCTTATACTCCTATAGGCTCCTACTTATTTGTTCTTATCTTTACTTGGAGTTCCTCTATCTAAGAATTCCAATTTGTAATTATTGTGTGTAAATGCAATTCAACAGATTTCATTCCCAAATCCCTACGGAACCCCATGGGGATTCCACACATGAGTTAAGGCAACATCTGAGAATGGTTCCAGCATATCACTTCAGAGTTCTACACTATCAGTGGCAGGCTGAAGAATTAAAAGTGATTAGCCGGGCGGTGGTGGCGCACGCCTTTAACCCCAGCACTGGGGAGGCAGAGGCAGTCGGATCTCTGTGAGTTTGAGGCCAGCCTGGGCTACCAAGTGAGTTCCAG